AGAGGGAATGACTGGTCCCTCTTCCTCTGTCACCTGCTAATGTGATTGCAGGGTATGAACGAGCCAGTGGAGATGAACATAGAGCCGGTAGAGGCTAGAATAAAGCTAATGGAGGCTAAGACAGAGCCAGTGTTGGTTGGCATAGACCAGAGGAGTCTAACACAGAATCAGTGAAAGAGGTTGGAAGCCAGTCGAGGTTAGCATAGACCAGTGAAGGCTAGAATAGACCACTGGAGCCTTAGATGGACCACTGGAGGTTAGCACAGAGCTAGTGAAGACAGAAATTGGGCCGATGGAGGCTAGCACTAGGCTGGTGAAAGCTGAGAGAGAGCAGTGGATGGTAATCCAGACCAGTGGAAGCTATCATAGGGCTAATGAAGGCTAAAGCAGGCTAGAGAAGTCTAGGCCATTTCTGTATGCTGGAAACAGGAAGTAGACACTTGAAAGGTGTTGTGAGAATAAAGGTACTGATTTTCGTTTCCATGTCTATAAGCAGGATGTAAATGTGCGGGTTGATTTATTTTGCCTGTGTTGCCATGGAGATAATATGAATGTTTTATGCTGTCTTAAACATTATCTTAATCTCTTTTCTTTCTCTTGCGAGAGAAGAAGGTGGGAAAAAAAACGATCTTTTCCTTTTGAAGGAGAGCTAAAGTGTAACATAAGGGCCGACTTCTGTTCTGTAGAAAAGTGTTGCTCTTTATAAAAAAGGAAGAAAGGGCTGTGTATGTGTGCGAGTCTGAGGAGGCTGAAAGGTTATGCCTGATTCACTCTCACCTCCTGCAGACGTGTGAATGGGATTTTCTCTGGTGACAGATCCATTCCCTCTCTCTCCCTCTCTCTCTCTCTCTGTCTCTACATCCCTGCTCTCCCTCTCTCGCCTTTCTAGCTGTCTCTGACCCACTCTCTCTCTCTCTCTCGCTCTCTCTCTATTTTTCACTCAGTCACACTCACTTTCTATACATTTCTCTCCTCGCCACTCTTTGTACTTTCTAACTTCCACCTCACTGTGGTCCATGGGGGGGTGGGCTTACATCTGTGGCCCCAATCAAAGCTCCTTTCCTGGGGCTTCAGGACCACAGTGGGTCCCTAGTTGGCTGTCGATTCATGGGGGAGTCAGACACCCCACTTACCCTCTACACACTCTCTCATCTAATGCAGACAAATTACCTCTCCAGAGAGCGCTGCTAAAAAGCTAAAGATTAGCCTTCACACCGTACAGAGCGCTATAATCTCTGTATTCTCCAGCTGGAAAGCCGATTCAATTTGACCATTTTCTTCTATTTCGCCCCAACCCATCTTCAGTGTAGATGTCCTCTCCCCAGTCGTGGCCGCCTGGAGCAACTTTTGGAGGGTCCGTTTTAAGTTGAACACAATAATTGCATTATTTCAACAACAATAAAGACATTTGTTCAATTATTTCTCACTTGTCGTGAGAAATTGTGTGGAAAGTGCAGATTCTGAACCACATTAGTGTTTGTAAGTCAAAGAGAAGATATTTTATTACAACCTGAATTTGACAAAAAGTTAAAGGCCTGATTTCATAAGGTGTTTGATGTAGTTTGTAAATGTTGTTAAAGTTTAAAAACGCGCCGTTCACTCTGCAGTCCATACAGTCCGTATATGGAAACTAAACTGCAAGAACAGCTCGTTCACCGTCCCACTGTTTCCAAATATCCATCTATTCAGCCTACACCAGTTTAGCTCCGCCCACTCACGCTGAAGTTATAAAGAGTGTTTCAGCGTGCTTTTTTGAATAAATGACAATACAGCACAGCCAATCAGAATAGAGATAATTTGCCTAGATTAGTCTTAAAGGCACAGTAACAAAAGCAGCCTGTTTAATTCTAAAGGATAAAGGTTGGAAAATGGTACGTAAAACTGCACAAACGTTATATGGAGATCTCAGGGGTAAAAAATAAAGAGCAAAAATAAATAAATGATAATAAAATAAATATAAAAGAAGATAGGAGCCCTCTAAAGTAGGGCCAAACACTTGAATGATGTTCATATGATTTATGCCATGTGGCCTATGGACCTGATATTGGCTTCAAATTCACTCTACGTTTAAGGCACCTCAACGTTACTGCATTATTTAAGCTTTATATTTGCATATATCCATATGAATTTGGATCCAGTCCACCAATCTGGCTAATCGAATGTGTCCACATATCTTTTAGGGTGTTTTCTGGCCCTAGGACCGCTTGCTTTGTGAGCTCGAACTTTGAAACCTGTTTTTGAGCCCGGGAGCGATCCAGAGAACTGACCTCTGGTCCTCCGGAAATCAGTGGTCTGAGGTTCAGTTCCAGAGAGCTCTGGTGTGGTCTGCTGCACGTGAGGAAGCTATACGCTCCCGGCGCCGCATGTGGGGCTGCGTGATTGGTTCATTTTGTAACGTGACTGTTTCGACTTCCTTTTGATGACGGAAAAAGGTTTGTTGTGGAAGTGCTGTTCTTCACCACTTGAGTGTTTGTATTCAAGCAAAATAATAAAAAGCAGC